ATTGTATGATGATGAAACTTCTATGTAGAATTATAAACGGACTTTTCTCTGTTGCTCAATGTTGCTCGATGAATACTCCGGTAAGATGGCCGAAAGCTCGCAATAAAAGTATTTTAACTTGGAGAAAAATCCGTTTATAATTCTTAATTTATCTTAATTTACCTACGTTATGAGTTTTAAACAACAATGATAAAAACTTCTTTGGATTTAAACACAGACATGCTATACGAAGATATCATACAAAAATAAATAAAACTGAAAATATAATTTTGAAGCGTAATAGTTGATTAACAAATTATATTATTTTCCATTTGAAAACATATTTCAATCCTATAATTTATTCAATATTATTAATATATATATGTATATATCAAAATATTTTACATGCTACAGTCGTTATTAAAATATTATTTTTTTTCCGTCCTGCAGGTAACGTGGCTAACACCGAAAAACGTGGGAGAGATAGCAGTTTTGTCATAGAAAATTTAGTAAATTTTGATATTGAGTGAAAATAGCGTAATAAAATTGCAGTTACAGTTGTTTTGTACATTATATAGCTACAATGAGCACTATTTTGGAAAAAATTAAGGCTATCGAGGATGAGGTAAGCTTAATATTATACTATAGCACTATTACTAATAGTAATAACTAATAAAAACTAAAAAAGTAATATTGCTGTTAACTTATGTAGGCCTTAAGTTTAACTTCAAGTTAAATTTAAGTAAAACTAATAATACTAATATAAGCGTAATGTTAGTATTACTATTTGTTTTATTTTAGTTAACTTTAGTGCTGTTATTGATAATAATTAACTGCAATTATTTATTGCACTTGTAATTGTATTGTAAGTCGTATACCTAGTATTAGTAATAATAGCATTTCCACTAGCACATTTTCTAATTGTAGAACATGAAATCTTACCATTATACTTATAATGAAACTGATATTTACTTGTGTATTTTGTAGGTAATGAGTCACTTGAAATTTACTCAAATTACTGATGTTCAGTCTGTGGGAAAATGTAATTGTGGGTTACACACTGTACCATTATATTTATAATGAAACTATATTTACTTGTGTATTTTGTAGGTAATGAGTCACTTGAAATTTACACAAATTACTGATGTTCAGTCTGTGGGAGAATGTAATTGTGGGTTACACACTGTGGGAAAATTATAAAATTTATTAATATTAAAAGGAAGGTGTTTTATGTATAAATGTATATATTTGTTTATACATTGGTTTTATACTCAAATAATAAAATTTCATTTCTTTGGCTTTTGATTGATTTGCATTGATATTGTTGCATTCTTACACATAGTTATAGATGTATTAATTTACCACTCAAATGTCTTGGTATGTTAGACAATAAATTCTATACCATTCCATCTTTTTTTTTATCTTTCTGTTCATTTGACTTCTTGCTTTTGGAGATGTTAGTTACCTTTGATAGACTTATTTCCATGGGGTGGACTTATAAGATATATACATTAGTCTTATATATAGGTAGACATGTAGAAGATATAACAGTTATGTACTTTCATTTTCCTCCTTTTCCTCTTAGGACTTTCGACCATCATAAGTTTTTGTGCACACTGAATAATACTGTCAAAATCCCATTTGTACTCCTTTGGTCATCCTTAATTTTTCTTAGTGATGCTTCTCAGAACTCAAATTGTTGAATGTTTCTGGGATTTTTGCTCTGTTTACAGTTTACTAATTCTTCCCTGAAATCGGTTAAATTTTTATTCTTTTATGTTTTTGGACAGAGTATTGTCTGTCTTTTGTGAGCTACAGAATTCTATTTTCTGTTATTGCTTGTTTTCCTTTGGAGGCTTATGAATTCTAATATTTTCCTAGAAATGTTTTTGTTTTTATTTTATATCATCTTCCACTACATTTTTGTTTCTTAATTTTAACATTGTTTTGGATATCAACTTTCTAAGGTCTCAAGAGTTATTTCCTTTTAAACCTTTGACTTTGTCCCTGTCTGTTAAAAATGTACCTTCAGGTATTAAGATTGCTTTCTTGTTTTTACTTGCTTTAGTTTTGTGGTCAAATATTTGCAGTTTTGATATGGTTTGTTTGTGGATTTCCAATAACTGCTTGGACCTTTTCCCCAATTTTTCTGTTCTTCCTAAAATTCAGCTAGCTAATAAGGGCACTCAGAAGAATTTTTGCTCTTGTTCTTTCAACCCTTCCTGTTGCTACAATTTTTTTGAACCTGAACTGCCTCTTATTTCTTGTTTTTGCACTTCAATACTACATGTTTCTTTTGCCTCGGTATCTTTCAGATGAGTGTTGGAACACATTGGTTCATCATCACTTGTAGGTGTTGCATCTTGGATTATACTCTGGTGAATTTTAGAGTGGTGATCTTTACCATCTGTTGATTTCCTCTTTTCACAATGTTTACATTCTTCATCAATACATGGTTTAGGATAATGCTTTGGCATTTTTATAGCTCTGGCCAGGATGATGTATAATGTTAAAGCTGTAATCCTTGAGTTTTTAAAGCCATCTTGCTGTTTGGCCTTAAAGCTCATGACAGTCTGCATCTTAATGAGTGAGAATGATAGGATATGGAGAGATAAGTATATATTTTGACTTGGGATGAGTCATCTTCAGCTGCTAAGACAGTTTTCTTTTTCGACAATGGTGGTTATCTTTTGGAATTGGTTTATTTCAGATGTGGATATAGTAAATTTAAGGGTGTTAAGGGAAGGCTTGGTATATTTAAGTTTAGTCTAGTGTAGTTTAGTTTGGTTTAATGGATGAGACAGCCTAGATAGTCCAACAGGTCCCTTGTTGTCCTTAGATTTTTATATTTTCAATCAATAATTTGGTATTTAAAAGGTATTTTTCTTGCATAATTCACAGGGAATTTTTTTTAAAATTTAGACATGTTTGTTATTTTTCCAACTGCTTTCTAAATCTATAAAATGATATGGAATTGCCTTTGTATTCTGTATAATCTTGGAACAAAAAAATTAGAGTAATTGTTTGAATGAAAATGAGTAACACTTGATATACATTGGCTTTGTATACATAACCACGTATGCTTAAGAATAAGGTGCTTTTTATAATTTTCTGTTAGAAATACTGATTGTATAGATATTTGTATTGATTTTATTTTACTATCCAATTAAAAGTAATGAACTGGTAAAAAAAGTACTAAATTTAACCTGTTTTCTATCATTTTAAACTACATAACACTAATGTATAACATTTTGTGGTAAGAGTTCCATATGGCACCCCCACTCAATTTTAAAAAATATTCAT